AGGACAGCAGCGTGAAGAGTGTCAGCGCTCAGCATCTGGTCTGTGAGGACGTCTGGGCGTTGGTCCTGTGCGGCTTCATCTTCCACGGCCGGGTCCTGTCGTCGTGTCCTCAGGCCGTCGGTCACGCTTGGCCCATCGTCTACACCCGGGCCAACTCCCTTTACTCAATCGTCGACCCCACGTAAGTCTTGGGGTTAACACGAGAGTTCTGGGTTATTTAACTCCTGTAAATATTTTGTAGTTATTTTGGTTCATTTTGTAGTTATTTTTTGTTAATTATGTAGATGTTTATTTTGTAGTTAATTTGTTCATTAATATAGTTATATTGGTTAATTTTGTAGTTATTTTTTGTTAATAATGTAGATTTTTTGTTCATTTTGTAGTTATTTTGTTTTATTTTGGAGTTAATTTGTTCATTTTGTAGATATTTTGCTCATTTTGTAGATAATTTGTTCTTTTTGTAGTTATTTCTGTTCATTTTGTAGTTATTTCATTCAGACTGTAGTCATTTTGCACTTGCCATAACCAAATTTGTTTACTCTGTACATTTTGTTTATATGTTCCTTTGATAACCTTTCAATATTATTTTCAGTCTTGTTTGTGGGACAGTAAGATGGCCATGTGTAAGATGGCCATGTGTAAGGTGGCCATGTGTAAGGTGGCCATGTGCTAAAGCTGACCTCCCTACACATATTATGACCTTGTAAAAATAACCTCTGACCTCTGACCCAGCGTATCGACCCTCCTGGAAAATATGCTTGGATGTTTAGCTTGTGGATGTGTATGTATGTGTGGATGGATGTATGTATGTATGTTATGTACGTATAGGTGATGTATACCACTGTAATGGTTCACCGTGAGTACCAAATACCAAGCTGATTAATTGGGCTTTGTTCTTCTGTTTATTATGATTTGTTGTTGACGAGCGATTGTAGTTACCAATCTCGTCACGCGCTCAAAGACCCGCCCACGGCAGTATGGTAATTTACCCGTCGACCAGAGTTCTAGTTTGTGGAATATTTGAGCGTTTTTTTTTTCTTAATTTCTCTGCACTTCTTGCCATGGTATAGACAATGGACGAGTTGACGGTCAGAATTTTTTCCTAAGATGGCCGGTCAATGGGTAAAGAAGACGCTTAAATTCACGATGGTGATGATATTTATAAATAAATTGGGCCAAAAAGTGTCAGAAATAAGGGTTACAGTTGGTAAAAAGTCCCGTGACTGTGAAAAGCTCTGTGATTGGTTGTGACGTTACTGACTGCGGTAAGCTTCCCAACGGGAGGCAGCCAGCTGTTGTTGTCCAACCTTCTCGGCTGATTGGCTCTGTAAATAAACATTATTACATAGTCTGCATGTCTAAGCACAGGCAGTCCCCGACTTACGACGGGGTTAGGGACCCAAATCCAGGTCATAACCCGAAAATGAGGAAATAATACATAGAAAATCTAAAATGAGTGTCTCTTTTTCTTCTCGTCACCACAAAACTCTCACTTTTAAGCTTGCCAGCCATTTTAAAGGGAAATACAAACGAAAATTTTGTCAGTACACAGCGCAATCACTAACGTTGGGACTCGAAAATATGTAAATTGAAAGAACTTTGGTAAGACTGCGGCGGTCGTATGTCAGGGTGGTTGTAAGTCGAGTAGGTCATAAGTACCTGTACAGTGATGACCAAAACTTAACATTTACCCACTACAGTCTATCTAGAATCTAAACATACAAATCTTATGGTAGTTAAAGTAAACTTTACCCATTAATTAATATAAATGATGATATATCCCAGTGGTTCATTAGTGAATCATCAAAACAATAACAGCACTATGTTGTCATGTTAACTAGCATCAGGCTTATCAAAACAATAACAGCACTATGTTGACATGTTAACTAGCATCAGGCTTATCAAAACAAAGTCTAGACAATGTCATCACTTCTTAATTAACTTGTATCTTCTGATATAGTCTGTAAATGAACTGAAGAAAAAAGAGAAAGTCTACCAGGTAAGAGTACATGACAGCTGAGCTTGTGTGAACATGGGAGTTTTTTATGTCCATAAGAACATAAGACTGGAGGAACCTGCAGCGGGCCATACTGGTCAGTCCCATTTACACCCAACCCCTATCACTCATATATCCATCCAACCTCTGTTTGAAGCTGCTCTTAACTGCACATTTCTTCACTTAACAAATGTCCATGACTTAGACCATATAAAACACCTTAAAACTTACCTGAACGTGGCATTTGGGGTCTGAAGAGGCCATCCATCATTGGGCCATCCTTTCTATTACCTCCGACTGCAGCGGTGAGTTTGTTGGAGAGTGTCATCTGCGGGGAAGGTGGTGACGTCATGGCGGCTCTGTTTGTAGAGAAATAAACTTATCTCGACTATTACAGCAGGACTTTCAACACATTATATACAGTATCACTCTATGAACGTGGCAGAGTGTATGTCTTTTGTTTACCCAGAACCGTCAACTCGTCCACTGAGCGGTACATGATCTTCCTCGCTTAAAAACCTTCCTCTTCCTCGCTAATAAAGACATGTGTGTGTGTGTGTGTCAGTCAGTCAATGCTTGTGGTGTTCCTACATATAATTGTGGTGAGTAAAGGCTTATGCTATTGGCAAGAGGTGCTAAATGCTTCTGTACAGGAGGTCTCAGGCTAACATCTTTTATTATGCTTGATGGCCCTGAAGTATTGTGACATTATTGATTTATAAATCCAGGTGAGTATTATATAGTGTGATAGGTGAGCCCATTGAGAAACATCCTATTAGACTTTTTTCTCCCATCTATGAACACTGAGACTTTGGGTTCATTAATCTCAGGGTTCATTAATCTCAGGGTTCATTAATCTCAGGGTTCATTAATCTCAGGGTTCATTAATCTCAGGGTTCATTAGTCTCAGGGTTCATTAATCTCAGGGTTCATTAATCTCAGGGTTCATTAATCTCAGGGCTCATAGATGGGAGAAAGGACTACAGTATATTTCTTGGTGAGTGTATAAAACATATTATGCTTATGCAGTCATTTACATGTCATAGCTTTCAGAATCAACCCAATGATTTGTCTCGAATGTCTGTATATAAACTCGTGTGTATGTGTACGTGTGTAAACCATGTGTATGTGTGTATATACTCTGTGCGTGTATAAACCCGTGACTCCATTTTACAGGCCTCCAAATGACAATCGAGCATCTCTACTTCGCAGTGCAAGCCAAGTGAAGAAACCCATCAGTGAACGCGATGTTTACATGAACCTTTGGAGGAATTACGTCGTGCTAGCTTGTCGTGTAGTACCGGCCATCACCAAGACGCCGGTCATCAGATGCGCTTCTCCGGATATCAGCCTAGGGTAGGTCTCACGTGTACGCAAACTCGTGTACGCAAGTCTCACGTGTATGCCAACTCGTGTACGCAAGCTATTGGTCGTGACTGTTGGCCTTCTGTTGATGTCGGTCATTGTACCAGGAGAAACTAATGCTCGATCTAACGTAAACATTGGGTAAACTGGTGTGTCCTCTACTGAATGTTTACTGCGCATTATTACAACTAACCCAATCCAACCTAACATACTGTATAGCACTCTGGACATATTGTATAGCACTGTGGACATATTGTATAGTGCTGGACATATTGTATAGCACTGTGGACATATTGTATAGCGCTGGACATATTGTATAGCACTGTGGACATATTGTATAGCACTGTGGACATATTGTATAGCACTGTGGACATGTTGTATAGCACTGTGGACATGTTGTATAGCACTGTGGACATGTTGTATAGCACTGTGGACATATTGTATAGCACTGTGGACATATTGTATAGCACTGTGGACATGTTGTATAGCACTGTGGACATATTGTATAGCACTGTGGACATATTGTATAGCATGTAAAGAGATGAAAGTCCATTATAGCTGGTCAGTTAGGTGTGGATCATGCTCCAGACTATAGTGGAGAGAAAGGACGTCAAAATGTCACACAAATCCGAGAATTTATTATCGTTTTGTTACGGAAGTTATAAGTTCTGTAATAGTTTATTTATGCTCTTTTTTTCACCGTACGTTATTTATTTTTAAGCTTCGAAGGTTTTAGTTTAATCCGGCGGCATCTGACCCCAGGCTGTTATGTCGATGTGTTAATACGTTCGGTTCTTCAGGTCGTCTCCGGACAGTGGGGCGGGCGGCGATAAAGGCGGAAAGCGGCCATACCCGGTTACTCCGTGTCTCCGCTCTGCCTCTACAAGCTCCTGGTTCCTCTCCTCCGATCGAGAGTACGGACATCGTGAGGCCGTTACTCTCGCCCTGGGGAAAATAAATCATTTTGCTCTGAGGTGAGTCGTGGTGGTGGTGGTGGTGGTGGTGGTGGTGGTGCATTCTCAGGGTTTTGTTTCTCACTCGTGGAATTACGTTGACCAATAGGATTACAGGGAAATCTTAATGGCTCTTCATCCCGTCAGCCTCTAGTCTTTGTGATTAGATTCAGTTAAATTGAGTTAGGTTAGGTTACCATGGGTTAAATTGAGTTAGGTTAGGTTACCATGGGTTAAATTGAGTTAGGTTAGGTTAGCATGGGTTAAATTAAGTTAGGTTAGGTTAAATTGAGTGGGGTTAGGTTAGGGCTAATAATATGTGCCTCATTTTATAAACAACCTAATATATCATGCGACTTCTATCATTATTTAAACTCCTTATTTACGTTAATAGAATCTTAATTACTCGGACGTTTTGGTTCACAGTGACTTGATGGAGGAGCTCTTCCCTTACATACGTGAGAGCATCGACCGGAAGCAGGAGAACATGCGTCGTAGGCGTCGTAGGGATGCCCTCAGGGTCACTCTCGTCAAGCTGTTCGAGATGATAGCTGAACAAGGCACTTTTGCTCTTAGGTAACACATTATTATTACTGGTGTTTGGGGTACAGTCTCAACCCTCCCTCAAACCACCTAGTGAAAGTAGGTGGTTTAATGTATACTTTCTCAACCTTCCCCTAAACTGTCAAGTGAAAGTAGGTGATTTAATGGATACTTTCCCTCTCTCCCCTGAACTGTCTAGTGAAAGTAGGTGATTTAACTCATACTTTGTCTCTCTCTTGTAGTGAAAGCGTTATTGATGGGGACACTGGCGCCCTGCTGAAGCGTTACCTCGAGTACATGGACGGCGCGAGGGTCTACCTGGAGAGTGAGAATGACAAGGACAATACACTGCTGCAGATCAAGACCCACTTCTGCCATTTTGTCCGCAAGCTGATTGGTAGTTTCTCGTGTGAGTATTCTCTGTGATTGGTGGATTTTTCGAGGGTATTTTGTGATTGGTAGCTTTTCCACTCATGATGGCAGCCGTCCCTACAGCTAACCTCCACTCATGATGGCAGCCGTCCCTATACATAACTTCCACTGATATTTGCTGGTATTTTAGAGTTAATATTTGAGAATCTGTGTTATTAATATTTATTTATTTCTTCTTGTCAGTGGAACAAAGACAGACGCTCATTCCCCGAAGCTTACGTAAGGGGCTGTTCTATCTGTTTGCCTCGTGGAGCGGCGTGTTTGGCGCACCGTTTGGGTTTAAGGTAAGTCGATAATTCTTCTAAACTATATTGTACAGTCTAAGTCGAGGGCGATGAAGACGTAACAGAGTAATGAGACTCTTCAGTGGTTCATGATTGCAGCCATCTTATGTCTCAGTGTGTTGACATTTAAGAGTATTGGAAACATATGATTGAGTGTTTGTTGATGTGAGTGATCTGACGTTCACCCAAGTCATTCTTCTCTTCCGCCAGAGTCCAGACTCGGGGAATCGTCAACCGTCTGAGTTTGAGCTGTGTGCCCTGCATGCCTCCAGCGCTGTACTGTGTTGCGGTCCCTCCTTTGACCCACAACTGCTGGCTGATGACGGCCACATATATCAGTGGCTCGATGCTCTTCTGGGCTCTCATGATGAAAAGGTATGTTTAGTCTATGTTTAACTTGTGTGGGGTAATCATTAGGGCAGGTGTACTGAACCAGGTATGTCAACACTCTTCAGGGTTCACTCAGACGACCCAGAGATATATTGAGAGCACTGTACTGACGACATGACCATTGTTTTACGATATACTTAAATTATATAAATGTAAACAATAAGTGAGTCACCATGAACACGGGGCACATGACATCTCGCACTCAGACCAACGAACACACACACACACAACACCAGTGCCTGACTCTAGGCTAAATAACTGACTCAACACCACACCAGCACCTGACTCTAGGCTAAATAACTGACTCAACACCACACCAACACCTGACTCTAGGCTAAATAACTGACTCAACACCACACCAGCACCTGACTCTAGGCTAAATAACTTACTCAACACCACACCAGCACCTGACTCTAGGCTAAATAACACTCAACACCACACCAGCATCTGACTCTAGGCTAAATAACTTACTCAACACCACACCAGCATCTGACTCTAGGCTAAATAACTTACTCAACACCACACCAGCATCTGACTCTAGGCTAAATAACTTACTCAACACCACACCAGCATCTGACTCTAGGCTAAATAACTGACTCAACACAACACCAGTGCCTGACTCTAGGCTAAATAACTGACTCAACACCACACCAGCACCTGACTCTAGGCTAAATAACTGACTCAACACCACACCAACACCTGACCGCAAGTTTACGAATAAATATAAAATAAATAGCCATGCAGGTGTGAACTTCCATATTTCTTTTGGCGTAATAATTAACAATTCACGGTAGATTAATAACCAACTGTATCTTACTATTATCAAACTATACATCGTTTTAGGCAGATAATTACCTGTAGTTAAGATGCGGGTTGTGTGAATATACTCTTCTCTGTTTATAGTGGAAGCTGTGATTTTTTATGACTGTGTGAAGTGGAGAAACATCACATTAATGTAGTCATAAGTTCACATTGTATATTACTGTACTAATATTATGAACAGGGATTTTATAATGGCATATGGTTATTGTATTTGCTTTTTCTTCAATACAGTACTCTAGTTATTAACAAAACTAACATTCATACTCTTGTAGTTAATATGAACGTCGCTGTTAACATGTGTATATAAGAAGTTAGTAGGAGTTGGTGAAACGTCTATTTAATGGACTACGTGGAGAGAAAGATCCTTTATATCGAGGTTCTGTTAGATGTGAAACCCCCATTTAATGAATTATATATGAAAGTTTGTTATATCGAGGTTTCACTGTATATGGTGCACCCACAAGCCAGTATGCAAGACTAGGGCCGCTGTTTTGACTTCACGATGTAAGGCAAATTATTATTTTTATAACCCCCATTCAGTGTGGTTGATGGTGTGCAGCGGCTGATTGGATAGAGATCTTTCCTGTTGGTTATTGGTTCATGGTTGGGAGACCCTACAGTCAACTGCTAAACACGAACCCAGAGATTCAGATTCGTGAACCCGAAGCCGTAAATGTATTGGATTCGTGAGTCTGAATCCCCGGGTTTGTGGTTGAGGACGAGAGGCGAACTGACCTCAGTTATTCTTACCACTTAATGGGCCAGGGAGCCTATTGAGGGTATACTTGGACATGATCACACTGGCCGTCTGCCTCTCTAATATAACTCAAAAACTGCCTAATATATCCTGTTAAATATATATACCTGAACTGGTTAAAACAGATGTGTATACCTGAACTGGTTAAAACAGATGTGTATACCTGAAGTGGTTAAAATAGTCTCGTATCATATATATCGTCTCCATTGCCGGAAAAATAGCCGGCTGACCCTCTCAAGTGTATATATCTAACATACTGGCCTTGTGGGTGTGTAAAGTGTCTTAGGGGAGCATTATAAGTGTGTAAAGTGTCTTAGGGGAGCATAATAAGTGTGTAAAGTGTCTTATGGAGCATTATAAGTGTGTAAAGTGTCTTAGGGGAGCATTATAAGTGTGTAAAGTGTCTTTGGGGAGCATTATAAGTGTGTAAAGTGTCTTAGGGGAGCATTATAAGTGTGTAAAGTGTCTTAGGGGAGCATAATAAGTGTGTAAAGTGTCTTGGGGAGCATTATAAGTGTGTAAAGTGTCTTGGGGAGCATTATAAGTGTGTAAAGTGTCTTGGGGGAGCATTATAAGTGTGTAAAGTGTCTTAGAGCATTATAAGTGTAAAGTGTCTTAGGAGCATTATAAGTGTGTAAAGTGTCTTAGGGGAGCATTATAAGTGTGTAAAGTGTCTTGGGGAGCATTATAAGTGTAAAGTGTAGCTGTAAAGTGTCCTAGAGGAGCATTATAAGGTGTAAAGTGTAGGGTATAAGGTGTAAAGTGTCTTAGGGGAGCATTATAAGTGTGTAAAAGTGTCTTAGGGGAGCATTATAAGTGTGTAAAGTGTCTTCTTGGGGAGCATTATAGTGTGTAAAGTGTCTTGGGGAGCATTATAAGTGTGTAAAGTGTCTTAGGGAGCATTATATAAGTGTGTATAAGTGTCTTGGGGAGCATTATAAGGTAAAGTGTTAGGGGAGCATTATAAGGGTAAAGTGTCTTGGGGGAGCATTATAAGTGTGTAAAGTGTCTTAGGGGAGCATTATAAGTGTGTAAAGTGTCTTGGGGAGCATTATAAGTGTAAAGTGTCTTGGGGAGCATTATAAGTGTGTAAAGTGTCTTAGGGAGCATTATAAGTGTGTAAAGTGTCTTGGGGGAGCATTATAAGTGTGTAAAGTGTCTTATGGAGCATTATAAGTGTGTAAAGTGTCTTAGGGGAGCATTATAAGTGTGTAAAGTGTCTTAGGGGAGCATTATAAGTGTGTAAAGTGTCTTAGGGGAGCATTATAAGTGTGTAAAGTGTCTTAGGGGAGCATTATAAGTGTGTAAAGTGTCTTAGGGAGCATTATAAGTGTGTAAAGTGTCTTGGGGGAGCATTATAAGTGTGTAAAGTGTCTTGGAGGGGAGGAAGAAGCATTATAATTATACTGGTGTCTGTCAGTTCGTCGTTGCATGTATGTATATAATTATTTTCTTGGAGGATTATGTTTTTATATGTCTTTTCTCTCTCTGTCTCTCCCCCTTCCACATTGCTCTCACAAGATTAAGAATAAGGTAAGTGAGAGAGTGTTGTGTGTGTGTGTGTTGCTTTGTAGTGTGTTGTGTGTGTGTGTTGCTTTGTCGTGTGTGTTGCTTTGTTGTGTGTGTGTTGCTTTGTCGTGTGTTGTGTGTGTGTGTAGCTAGTGTCGTGTGTGTGTAGCTTAGTGTCGTGTGTGTGTGTGTGTATGTGGAGCTTAGTGTTGTGTGTGTGTGTTTGGAGCTTAGTTTAGTTTTGTGTTTGTGTGTGTGTGGCTTAGTGTCGTGTGTGTTGTGTGTGGTTTAGTGTTGTGTGTGTGTTGTGTGTGTGTGGAGCTTAGTGTTGTGTGTGTGTGTTTAATGTCAATTTGTGTATGGGTTTAGTATATGTGTGTGCGTGCATGTATGTGTGTCCCTTCGCTATGTTTACCCGCTTCTTTCGCTACTTTTACCCGCTTCTTTCGCTACTTTTACACGCTTCTTTCGCTACTTTTACCCGCTTCTTTCGCTACTTTTACCCGCTTCTTTCGCTACTTTTACCCGCTTCTTTCGCTACTTTTACCCGCTTCTTTCGCTACTTTTACCCGCTTCTTTCGCTACTTTTGCACCGCTTTCGCCATTGAAATCTAAACTTAAACTGCTTTAATTTTATCCATATTTTCCTCTGGTAAAAGTCTTAAACCTGTAGTCATCTTCTGTGTGTTTGAGTGTTACTCAGTGTTTGGAGTGTTACTTCAGTGTTTGGAGTGTTACGCCAGTGTTTGAAGTGTTACTAGTGTTTGAGTGTTACGGGCCAGTGTTTGAAGTGTTACGCCAGTGTTTGGAGTGTTACGTCAGTGTTTCTGAGTGTTACTCAGTGTTTGGAGTGTTACGTCAGTGTTTGAAGTGTTACGTCAGTGTTTGGAGTGTTACTTCAGTGTTTGGAGTGTTACTTCAGTGTTTGGAGTGTTACGTCAGTGTTTGAAGTGTTACGTCAGTGTTTGGAGTGTTCCATCAGTGTTTGAAGTGTTACGTCAGTGTTTGGAGTGTTACGTCAGTGTTTGGAGTGTTACGTCAGTGTTTGAAGTGTTACATCAGTGTTTGGAGTGTTACATCAGTGTTTGGAGTGTTACGTCAGTGTTTGGAGTGTTACGTCAGTGTTTGAAGTGTTACATCAGTGTTTGGAGTGTTACATCAGTGTTTGGAGTGTTACGTCAGTGTTTGGAGTGTTACGTCAGTGTTTGGAGTGTTACTTCAGTGTTTGGAGTGTTACTTCAGTGTTTGGAGTGTTACGTCAGTGTTTGAAGTGTTACGTCAGTGTTTGGAGTGTTCCATCAGTGTTTGAAGTGTTACGTCAGTGTTTGGAGTGTTACGTCAGTGTTTGGAGTGTTACGTCAGTGTTTGAAGTGTTACATCAGTGTTTGGAGTGTTACATCAGTGTTTGGAGTGTTACGTCAGTGTTTGGAGTGTTACGTCAGTGTTTGAAGTGTTACATCAGTGTTTGGAGTGTTACATCAGTGTTTGGAGTGTTACGTCAGTGTTTGGAGTGTTACATCAGTGTTTGGAGTGTTACGTCAGTGTTTGGAGTGTTACATCAGTGTTTGGAGTGTTACTTCAGTGTTTGGAGTGTTACGTCAGTGTTTGAAGTGTTACGTCAGTGTTTGGAGTGTTACGTCAGTGTTTGGAGTGTTACATCAGTGTTTGGAGTGTTACGTCAGTGTTTGGAGTGTTACGTCAGTGTTTGAAGTGTTACATCAGTGTTTGAAGTGTTACATCAGTGTTTGGAGTGTTACGTCAGTGTTTGGAGTGTTACGTCAGTGTTTGGAGTGTTACATCAGTGTTTGGAGTGTTACGTCAGTGTTTGGAGTGTTACGTCAGTGTTTGAAGTGTTACGTCAGTGTTCAGTGTTTGAAGTGTTACGTCAGTGTTTGGAGTGTTACGTCAGTGTTTGGAGTGTTACATCAGTGTTTGGAGTGTTACGTCAGTGTTTGGAGTGTTACATCAGTGTTTGGAGTGTTACATCAGTGTTTGAAGTGTTACGTCAGTGTTTGAAGTGTTACATCAGTGTTTGGAGTGTTACATCAGTGTTTGGAGTGTTACGTCAGTGTTTGGAGTGTTACGTCAGTGTTTGAAGTGTCCCATATAGAACCATTGGACTAACATTGAGACGTCACTAAGAAAAACAAATATTCTTCCGTTTATTTTTATTTATTTATTTATTTATTTTAGGATGAATGAAAGTATAAAACACTGGATTTATTTTAGTGTTTAATGATAAGAAAATATAATACTTTTTCTAATAATGTAAATTGTTTTTTAGTTTTTTTAAATAGTTGTTGTTGTTGTGTGGTGGTGATGGTTGTTGTTGTGTGTGGTGGTGGTGGTGGTGGTGGTTGTTGTGTGTGTGTGTACAGATAGACAGAAACAGACACACACAGTAAGTATACATACATATGTCTGTATATGTGTGTGTATTAGTATCCAAGGAACGTATATTAAATCCACACCACCCAAGTACCCACACCACCCAAGTATCCACACCACCCAAGTATCCACACCACCCAAGTATCCACACCCAACCCCAAGCATCTGCCACTACCCAAGTACCCACACCCACTCTGGCACCCACACCACCCAAGTACCCACACCACCCAAGTACTCCACACCTTGCACCCGGGCACCCACTAAGCACCCACACCACCCAAGTAGCCACACCACTCAAGTAGCCACACCACCTGGCACCCACACCACCCAGCACCCACACCACCCAGATCCACACCACCTGGCACCCACACCACCCAAGTACCCACACCACCCAAGCACCCACACCACTAAGTACCCACACCACCCAAGCAGCCACACCACCAAGCAGCCACAACCACCAAGCACCCACACCCAAGTAGCCACACCACCACACACCACCACACACCACCTGGCACCACACCACCATCCACACCACCCACACACCACCTGGGCACCACACCACCCAAGTACCCACACCACCCAAGTATCCACACCACCCAAGTACCCACACCACTCAAGTATCCACACCACCAAAGTACCCACACCACCCAAGTATCCACACCACCCAAGTATCCACACCACTCAAGTACCCACACCACCCAAGTACCCACACCACTCAAGTACCCACACCACCCAAGTACCCACACCACCCAAGTACCCACACCACCCAAGTACCCACACCACCCAAGTACCCACATTACCAGAGGGCCTTGTGATGTTCCACTACCAGACACACTTGGTTTATATTGGTAACAGTGGACACACCCAATTGAATGGTAGTTGAAGCTTGAAGCCTATTTTATACATCAATTTAAGCTTTAACACCCATTATATCTACCAATTTAAGCTTTAAACTCATTATATCCACCAATTTAAGCTTTAACGCCCATTATATCCACCAATTTAAGCTTTAAGTCCATTATATCCACCATTTTAAGCTTAGGTGATTGGTGATTGATCCACACAATGCCATTCCATTAAATCACCATCCGCCAGAGCCTCTCATTGGCCAAGGGTTGAACGACATGATTTAGCGAGAGGCAGGATAGTATGTAGGGGCAGGATAGTATGTTGGGGCAGGATAGTATGTAGGGGCAGGATAGTATGTAGGGGCAGGATAGTATGTAGGGGCAGGATAGTATGTAGGGGCAGGATAGTATGTAGGGGCAGGATAGTATGTAGAGGCAGGATAGTATGTAGGGGCAGGATAGTATGTAGGGGCAGGATAGTATGTAGAGGCAGGATAGTATGTAGGGGCAGGATAGTATGTAGAGGCAGGATAGTATGTAGGGGCAGGATAGTATGTAGAGGCAGGATGGTGTCTTAGAAACGGGATGAGTATGTGAGGCGGGATGGTGTGTGGGGACGGGATGGTATGTGGGGGCGGGATGGTGTGTGGGGGCAGGATGGTGATGTAGAGGCAGGATGGTGTGTAGGGCGGGACAGTGTGGGGCGGGATGGTGTGTAGGGGCAGGATGGTATGTGGGGGCAGGGATAGTGTGTGAGGGGCGGGATGGTATGCTGGGGCAGGGATGGTATGTGGGGCAGATGGTATGTAGAGCGGGATGGTATGTGGGGGCCGGGATGAGTATATTGAGGCAGGATGTTATGTTGGGCAGGATGGTATGTAGGGGGGATAGTATGTAGGGGCAGGATAGTATGTAGAGGCAGGATAGTATGTAGGGGCAGGATAGTATGTATGTATGTAGGGCAGGATAGTATGTAGGGGCAGGATAGTATGTAGGGGCAGGATAGTATGTAGGGGCAGGATAGTATGTAGAGGCAGGATAGTATGAAGGTTTGGTTTATTTACCGTGAGCTAGGACGGACGTGGCCTTAACATGATTACCGTGACCAATCTGTTACGGGACAAAACACCTTTATTATGTTACCTGATGATATTATTCTGTGGTGAACTTATACAGAGTCCTTCCTCCACCACTGCCAGTCTCTTCCTGATAGACTCAGTTCCTAACCTAACCTAACTTAAATCAACATAGAATAGCCTAACCTAACCTAACAGAAAATAACTTAACCTAACCCGTACTTAACCTAACCCGTACTTAACCTAATCTGTACTTAACCTTATCTGTACTTAACCTAACCCAGTGTTTAAGGTGTAGAAGCTGTCACCAACACAACAACCACACCCTAAGTTAACGAGCTGCGTGACCCAGTGTTAAGGAATAGTCCGAGAAGACCGGACAACTCACCAACTGCACTGGCTAACCATTACCCCAGAACACGATCACTTGTGAGGCGAGCATGCTAACTGTACACACACACACACACACAAATGCACAAATATATATATACACACAAATGTACACACACACACACACACACACACACATCATTAGGAAGCTTTCACCTAGGCTGTATAAATTGATAATAAAGCTCTGATATATTTGGTCATCAGCATAATAAAACTCTTGTGTTTAATGAACGTACAGCAACATTACGTCCTGTCCTGAGGCATAGTGTGTGTGTGTGTGTGTGTGTGTGTGTGTGTGTGTGTGTGTGTGTGTGAACAACTGTATATCCCCCGTATATATACATACACAATGAATAAGAAATAACATGTATAAAGAACACTCCAGGTGAGACGATCATTAACGCCATCATGGTATCCTCAGATCTACGGGCTGGCTCAGGAAACAATCGTATTACTGCTGGAGTTTAACCCTGACTCTGGGGCCGTCCTGGACTGGGTGGTCGACCGCTGCTATACCGCCACCCCAGAGGTCGCCGATGGGTGCTTCAACGCCCTGGCCACCATCTTCTCCGCCAGGTGAGTCGCGTCTTCTCCACTAGGGTCCTCTGAGGTGAGTCAGGGTGTGTGTGTTACTGACTCACACGTACGTACATATATACATACGCACATACACAGGAAGAGATGCCATACAGGGGGGAGGGAGAGGCAGGTAGAGGCAATTCAGCAGCAACAATACAGGTTAATGAGGTGTCAGGAACAGTTGGTCTATGACAATGTACACATACACACACACACACACATACATACATACATACATACATACATACATACATACATACATACAGGTGGAAAAAATAATAATTCAAACATATTGGTGAAAAAGTTTATATATTTTACCATAATTATTTGTTTATAATTTATATATTTTTTAATTTTTTCTTACTTTTTTCCTCAACGTAAAATAATAAAGCCTTCAGGATTTTTTTCTTCAATTTTTTTTTTCAATTTTGTTTTTGTCACCATAAAAAACTAAGTCTTTGCCACTGGCCTATACAGTACACCCGGATAATTTGCGGATATTTAATTTACGGACCTGATTATTCGCGGATGACACCCTAAATATATGCAAATACCCAAAAATGTCTAAGGGTATTATTAAAGTTGCTGGCTATACTGTATCCACTTAAGATGAGGCGGATAACAGGTTTAAATCCACACTACTCTAGCAGTGGGTCAGGAATTGCCAG